AGATCGATATGAGGAGAGAATCGTTACAGGCTCATGTGGTATTATTACAGAAGGAAGGAAAAGACGCTTCACAGTGTTCTAACTATAGGCCAATCTCACTGTTGAATTTAGACACCAAGTTATATGCAAAGGTCTTGGCAAACAGGTTGAAGGAGTTTATGCCTAAATGGATACATGGAGATCAGGTGGGCTTTGTCCCAGGAAGGGAGGGTAGGGACAATGGGTTGAGATCCCTGATGCTTATTCAGAAAAATAGAAAAGAGGAGGTGCCGGCGGTGGTTATGTCAATCGATGCCGAAAAAGCCTTTGATAGAGTAGATTGGGGCTTCATGATGGATACCTTGGAGGCTCTGGGAATTGGAGTTAGAATGAGGGAATGGAAAAAAAGTTGTATAGGGAGCCTTCTGCAGTAGTAATAGTAAATGGGGAAAAAACAGAGCCCATTGGAATGTCAAATGGAACAAGACAGGGCTGTCCTTTGTCCCCCTTATTGTATGTTATGTCATTGGAACCTTTACTGTCAACAATAAGGAGGAATGGGGATATAAGGGGAATTCAGATAGGAGATATAGAGTACAAAGTGGCGGCCTTTGCAGATGATTTATTGTTTTATGTGGGGAATCCCAGGATAACACTACCAAACCTAATGAAATCGTTGAAGGAATATGGGGAACTATCAAATTTAAAAATTAACCCAACAAAAACTGAGATCTTAAATATAAATATCCCAAAAAGAGAAAAAGAGAAAATACAAAAAGAATTTCCCTTCATTTGGAAAGAAAGAGATATAAAATATTTGGGAGTAAGACTTACTGCGGCGTATAAGAATCTATACAAACTAAACTATATTTCATTAGTAAATGAAGTGAAGGGGGAAATAAAAACTTTAGAAAAAGGAATCCCATCATGGATAGGACGTATAAACTTGGTAAAAATGATAATAGTACCGAAAATTTTATACAGATTTCAAATGATACCAATTAAACTCCCAGAAGCCTTCTTTAAAGTAATAAAAAGAATGATAAGATATATTTGGAGGAATAAAAAACCGAGGGTATCCTATGAAATACTAAGTAGAGATAAAGGGAAGGGAGGCCTGGGAGTTCCAGATATTAAGAGATATTTACAAAGCAGTAATACTAGGGAGAATTTTTGACTGGACGTTCAATTTAGAGGGGAAAAGTTGGGTAAAAATAGAAAATGCACTTAGTGGAAGTAATTTGAATAGAGTTATATGGTTACCGGCACAATTTAGAGGTTTGAAGGAGGATATAAGTTTTTACACTGTAAATGTTTTAAGGGAATGGGACAAAATACACAAATATATGAAATGGGAATTTAACTCCATACTAATGCCACTAAGAAACACAGATTTTTTTCCCCCAGGTAGAGAGGAGATAACAGGTAAATGGTTTAAAAAGGAAGATGTACAATTAAGAGATATAATGGGGGAGGGGAAACTGAAGCCCTTTAAAGATATGGAAAAGGAAAAGGGAAAGATCTTCACCAGGTTAGATGAGTGGCGTTATTATCAATTAAATTGTTTTTGGGGAAATCTCCCAAAATCTTTGAGAATGAAAAAGGATTGGAATTTGTTTGAAAGGTTGTTGGATACACGGGGGGATGGGAAACACGGAACAGCTAAAATATATAGAATTCTTACGGAATTAGACACAAATACTAAACCAATGCACATAGTAAAATGGGAAAGTGATATGGGGGTGGTATTAGATGAAGAAAAACAAAAAAAAATAAACAGATTAGTTCACGAAAATGTAAGTTTGAGGGATGTAGAAATAAATTACAAATGTTTGACAAGATGGCACATTGTTCCGAGTGTAGAATGTAAGATAAGTGGGGAGAAATCACAGTGGTGTTGGCGAGAATGCGGGGAAGTGGGGAGAAATCACAGTGGTGTTGGCGAGAATGCGGGGAAGTGGGGACAGTGTATCATATTTGGTGGGAATGTCCAAAAATTCAAATATTCTGGAAAACAATAGTACATTTAATAGAGACCATTACTGAAGTGAACATCGAGTTAGATCCAGGGATGTGTTTGTTACATAGTTCAGAGCTATCAGTTAGCAAATATAAGAAATTAGGTTTAGGGTATTATATGAACGCGGCAAAAAGCCTGATCCCAAAGTATTGGAAAAAAATAGAAATACCAAAAGAGGAGGATTGGATAGAAAGAGTAAACTGGATTAGTAAGATGGAGAACATAAAACATGATATGTATCTACTTATACATATACGTGCCGCGCTCCATAATGAACTGAACAACTCATATGCTAGTGATAATTCAAACAATAACGTGAACAAAATAAATGTGCTTCAAGCAAGTGCAATATATAGTGCATATCAAAAATAATGTTCATCCAATCTTTAAACCGGTTATATAAACAGTCCTCTTTATACTTCTATAATATTTCAGTGACAAGTGAGGTGTATTGTGCCACACTCCCCGTGCTCTGTGGATAGGTGTGCGCTCACCTCCTTGTTAGCCAGACAAGCTGGCTAAACACACTTTTTTGTCCTCACAGGACAAGGTGGGGGTCTTTACTTTATATGCGTGTCTCCATCCATATTATGGGTTGCCTTATTTCTGCCACCAGAGGTCTCCCTCCTTCCACACTTTAGCCTCAATAGGTTTCTTTAGGGGTGGTTAAGATGATCTTTCCTCCTCTCAATTTAACCATGTAAAACAAGAACCACAAATGGTGCCTTATCTTTTGTGAGGCTTGAGCCTATTTATTGATAAAAAACGCCACTCACATAATTTCCAGCAATGCTGTTTTCAGCTGACATGTGTTCAGATCCTGTTTGCAAGCGCCGCTCGTCCACCACGGCGTCGTGACGTCAGAGCCCCTCCCCTACGCGTTACGCCACAGGGTCACGTGGCTTCATCAGGGGGAATTACAATCCCCCTGATGAAGCCACGTGACCTTGTGGCGTAACACGTAGGGGAGGGGCTCTGACGTCACGACGCTGCGGTGGACGAGCGGCGCTTGCAAAAAGGATCTGAACACATGTCAGCTGAAAACAGCATTGCTGGAAATTATGTGAGTGGCGTTTTTTATCAATAAATAGGCTCAAGCCTCACAAAAGATAAGGCACCATTTGTGGTTCTTGTTTTACATGGTTAAATTGAGAGGAGGAAAGATCATCTTAACCACCCCTAAAGAAACCTATTGAGGCTAAAGTGTGGAAGGAGGGAGACCTCTGGTGGCAGAAATAAGGCAACCCATAATATGGATGGAGACACGCATATAAAGTAAAGACCCCCACCTTGTCCTGTGAGGACAAAAAAGTGTGTTTAGCCAGCTTGTCTGGCTAACAAGGAGGTGAGCGCACACCTATCCACAGAGCACGGGGAGTGTGGCACAATACACCTCACTTGTCACTGAAATATTATAGAAGTATAAAGAGGACTGTTTATATAACCGGTTTAAAGATTGGATGAACATTATTTTTGATATGCACTATATGTTGCACTTGCTTGAAGCACATTTATTTTGTTCACGTTATTGTTTGAATTATCACTAGTATATGAGTTGTTCAGTTCATTATGGAGCGCGGCACGTATATGTATAAGTAGATACATATCATGTTTTATGTTTATGTTTTGGCACAGATAATGAGTAGTGTGTAAAGTGCTGATGCACCATTAGTTATATATGATTCTAGTTATTTACTCATCACGTTAAGGGGAGTATCACATTTTGGCTCACGAGTATAATCAATCACATTTAGTAAGATGGAGAAGTTATATTATATACAGGAAGACAAGTTAGAGGTATATTCCGTGAAATGGGGAAAAATGGGAAAACTTTGTAGCAAATGTGAGGAAGTGAAATGTAGAAAATCATAGAATGGATAGATGGGTAAGATATGCTTGCTTTGGATAAAAGATAGTGAAAAATGCAGAGTGGGGAGGGTTTTCGGGGGGGGGGGGGGGGGGTAGGGGGTATTGTTTTAAGAAGGGGAAAAATAAAGTAATAAGAAATAATTGTATATTTATTATGAATGAGATGAAAATATTTTTGTTATTACTGTGAAAAATCAATAAATATTTAAATAAAAAAAAAAAAACACTTATGTTTTGAGAAAATTTTCTATTTTTATCCAAACTTTCCTCCCTTAGTTGTATATCCTATCTGCTATTCGTGAAATCAACACAGAACAATAATATCTCCTAAAATCCAGTAATCCTACATTAATTCTGTCCCTACATAGTAGTTCATATTTAATATTGGTTTTTTTTAATTCACCCATATATATTTAAGTATCATCTTTTTTATGGTCTGAAAAAGTGACCCCGGTAGAATTTTGGGAGCATGTGAAATTTATGCAAAATCTTTGGGACTATCACCATCTTGACCATGTTTATACGACCTATGCACGAGATTCATCATATTGATAGTCTCCTCAACTCTTCCTTCAACTCATTTATCAATGGAATGTAATTTATCTGGTATATATTCTTTAACCACTTCATGTCTGGACACTTTTACCCCCTTCCTGTCCAGGCCAATTTTCAGCTTTCAGCGCTGTCACGCTTTGAATGACAATTGCGCGATCATGCCATATGAATTGAATTTTTTTGAGACAGATAAAACTTTATTTTGGTAGTATTTATTTACCACTGTGATTTGTTTTTTTTTTGCTATATAAATGAAAAAATCCAAAAATTTTGAAAAAAAGTATTTTTCTTATAACAGTTTGCAAATAAATAATCTTTCTTCATAAATCTTGGCCAAAATTTCTTCAGTTATCCTTTCAGTAAAAAAAAAATAACCCAAATTAGTTTATAACCAAAAAATTATAATTTTTAAAAAAAAATTTTTGTTTTTTTAACATACTGTCACCTTAGCAGTACAGTGTCACCATAGTGAAAAAAAAAAAAACATTTCATCACCCCCCACAAATAGTAACTGCTGGGGGGTGATGAATTTTTTTTTTCTTTACACGGTTTGCTTTTACAGCCTTTATGGGTGTAAAAGCAATCATTTCTCCACTCTGGCTCCATTCTTGCAGCCATTGAGAAATACTGTGTGAGCTGTGATTGGTCACAGCTTGTCACACGGTACAAGGCTGTTATGAATAGCCTTGTATCATGTGATCTCTGTGATCATTCACAGATTTCACACGTAATAAGTAATATCAGAAGTGACATCTTGCTTACTACTATTCATGTGATCACTGATTGGCCAATCAGCGATCACATGAATCGGGACCTCGTACAGAGGTCCCGTACAGCGATCGCTGTTCCGCTGTGTCCTTGGGACTCGGTGGGCACTGGATCACGGTGCCACGCACTCCCAGGGAGCACGCACAGTCCAAATAGGTGGGCGCCGTTTATGAATGGCAACCCGTTCCTGCACTGCCCCCGTCCAGCCCCTTAGGGGCCAGACGGGAAGTAGTTAAGGAAGGAGTTAACTTTACACCTTTGTAATTCGGTTCCTTTTCTCTCCATACAAAGGAGAGAAATTTCTGTAAGGTCTGTTTCTTTCTTCGAAACATTAATATTTAACATCTCAGATTTTGTGGGGTTAATTTTCAAATTCGTTAGCTCTCTATAATGTTTTACATTTTTCATTAGATTGGGTAAGGTTACTCAAGGATTTGTGATATAGAATAAACATGTCATCGTCATATGCCGCTACTTTATGCTTCTCATCGCCTACCATTTTTCCCTTTATATCTATATTCCTTCGTACAGTCGCCAAAACCAGTTCCAGGGATATACAGTGAAGGAAATAAGTATTTGATCCCCTGCTGATTTTGAATGCTTGCCCACTCACAAAGAATTGATCTACAAATCGAATGGTAGGTGTATTGTAACACTGAGAGACAGAAGAGCAACAAAGAATTCGAAAGAAATGCACGTCTAACAAATTATGCACTGATTTGCATGTTCATGAGGGAAATTAGTATTTGATCCCCTATCATTCAGCAGTATTTCTGGCTACCAGGTGTCTTTCATAAAGGTAACAAGCTGAGATTAGAAGCAGTCTCTTAAAGGGAGTGCTGCTAATCTCATTGTGTTACCTGCATAAAAGACACCTGTCCACAGGAGCAGACAAACAATCAGATTCCAAACTCTCCACCATGGCAAAGACCAAAGAGCTGTCCAAGGATGTAAACAAATAAAGTATATTGCTCAGTGCATAAGGTTCCAAAGCTTGGTCATTTACAATCCTCTTTTAAGGGAACACACTCTGCATTATGTATATATCTGTGGGTGGTGAACAATAATAAATGAGCCATGAGGAGAGCATCAAGTTGTTAAAAAGGGGGCAAAGTTAAGGCTTTCATTCAAACCAGGGGGTTTGGTGGTTTCAAGCTCCCGTATCTACCTTGTTTCATGTTGAAGTACCAGTTTATCAAAGTCTCCCCCCCTAGTGTTGTGGTGGACAACTTCCAATACCCAACACTGAAGATTTCTGGAATCAATATTATGTTTAAGACACACATCTTGCCAATGGAAATTTGAGATGACAGGTAGAGATCTCATAGGGATGATCCTGGAATGTCTTACAGATAGTAGGGATGGTCTTGCCGACATAGAAGGACCCACAGGCACAGAGAATAATGTATACAACTCCAGACGTGCTACAATTGGCTCTTTGTCTGCACCTGAGGGTCCTGACAGTCGGCAAGGTCAAACTATCACCCTCAATCACAGAGGGACAAACATCACAACAGCCACACTTATGCATAGATGACGCAACTTAAGGGGGGATCAATTAATATGAATACGAAACAGTTTTCATATATAGGAAAGCTCCAACCATTGGAGATAAAATTGTTCAAAAGATCTTGGATCCCCCCCAAACCTATGAAAATGTTTGCAGAAAGGAAAGGTATCTATTCCTGTAAAAAAATGTTCAGCCTGTAATATAGTTAATCACAAATTTAGGGGGCTATTAACATTTACCTCCAAGTCAAATGGGAGAGAATTCGATATCTCTGCCTTTTTGACCTGTGACTCAACTCATGTGGTATATGGGCTTAAATGCCCATGTGGTTTGATCTATATTGGGAGGACCCAGTGTCAAGCTTCCTCCTCTAACCAACATACCAGGCCCAACACCAAACTCTACACTCTCCTCCTTTGACCCTGTTACCACCAAGGAAGTTACCGAACTCCTTTCCAAGGCCCACTTCACCACCTGTCCCCTGGATCCTGTCCCCTCACGACTGTTGCAGCCTCCTTCCTGCTCTATCCTAAACTCTCCAACCTCTCACTCTCCATGGGCACCTTTCCCTCCCCACTTAAACATGCACTGGTTACCCCCCCATCCTCAAAAACCCTCATTGGACCCCACCTGTTTGAATAACTTAAAACCCATCTCCCTGCTCCCGTTTGCCTCCAAGCTTCTCGAGCGCCTTGTTCACAACCGTATGAACTGCTACCTCACTGACAACAACCTTCTTGATCCCCGACAGTCTGGCTTTCATCCACAACATTCCACAGAAACTGCCCTACTAAAACTCACTAATGACCTACTAACTGCTAAAACCAACGGCCATTACTCCATACTCGTACTCCTTGACCTTTCCACTGCCTTTGACACAATCGACCACCCTCTCCTCCTCAGTAAACTCCACTCCATTGGCCTCCGTGACTCTGCTCTCTCCTGGTTCTCCTCTTACCTTTCTCAGCGCACTTTCAGTGTCACATACAACTCCTCCTCCTCCGCTCCGCTTCCTTTTTCTGTTGGGGTACCCCAAGGTTCTGTTCTTGGGCCCCTCCTTTTCTCTCTATACCTCCTCCCTGGGCCAACTCCCATGGCTTCCAATACCACCTCTATGCTGATGACACTCAGATCTATCTCTCCACTCCCTAGCTCACCCCCTCAATCTCCTCACGTATCACAAATCTACTAAGCGACATATCGGCAGCATGGATGTCACATCACTACCTTAAACTCAGTCTTTCAAAAACTGAGCTTGTAATATTTCCTCCTCCCCGATCCCCCACTCACGACTTTATTATTAAGATCACCAGCACAACCATTGGTCCTTCCCCTCATGCCAAGGTGCTAGGCGTAATCCTAGACTCTGGCCTCTCCTTTGGGCCCCACATCCACTCTGTCAAGAATGGACTCGCCAATAGTGGTGGGACTCACTTGCCTTGTGGGTTGCAGTACCAGGACTGGCCAGCGGGTGCTCTCAGCAACCAGAGGCTCACTCCTGCAGTCAGCCAAAACACCTGAGGCTGATTGCAGGAGGTGCATATAATGAATGGCCAGACTTGCAATCAGGGCCTTGGTGTATGTTTCCCAAGAGCCCCTGTACCTGCATCCTGTGTGCTTCCTGTCTGATCCTGCTTGATCCCTGACTCTGATTGAACTCCGCCTGTCCTGACCTCTGCTATTCCTGACCACTCTCCAGTCTGCTCCTTTGGTACCTTGTCTGCCTGATTGTTCCTGACCCGACCCGTCTGACTATGCTCTGCCTGCTCCTTTGTACCTTGCCTGCCCATTTGCTACCGACCCGGCCTGTCCGACTACGCTTAGTATTGTTCTTTTGTTATCTGTTGGGGGTTTTGGTTTAGTTTGTTTGCACTGTGTTTATGTTTAGTCTTGCACTGCGTTTATGTATTGTTTAGTCTTAAATAAATTATATTGTTTATACTATATCTGAAGCCTGCGTTTCCCTGTGTCAGTCCACACACCTCTGGTCATACCCAGAGCCCTGAACCAAGGCCAATCCTGACCAGAAGTGGCTTCACAGGGAAGCCATCTTGGCTTATTGTTGCTGGGAAGGATGAATCTTGATGAGGTGGTGTATTTGTCTCTGCTAGTGTTTGATGACAGAGATTATGCTTATCAGACTCTGAAGGAGTATACCAGGGATCAACTACTAGAGTGCATAAGGATTGCTCATTGCCTAGTAGATCAGGGCACAGAGTTCTCAGGTGCAACCATTGATTCAGGTTTGTGCAGAGTTGGTTTCATCTGGTACCCCCGAAAGCAGGGATGAATTTTTGCCGCCATTTAGGGCCGACCAGGTAGAGTCGCTGGTATGGTTATTGGAGGATGATGTGGATTACTTTCTGGAGCGTTATTCTGCATGTTCACAACAGGTACTAAGAGACTGTATAAACGCAGTGCAGTCTTTGACCAGACAGGCTTTGTGTAAGCTGAGCTTTGTTCAACCCATACTGCAGACATGGTCAGACTTGTTGCACCCAGCCTCAGTCAGCTTGCAATGTCATTCCTCTGCTCAAGGCACTTTTCCTGCATCCCCAACAGCACCCCCAGTGACTGCCCAGTATACTCTGCTAACTACCACATATCAGTCCCCTGCTCCCGCTCGCTGCACCTATCTTTTCTTTAACCCTGTAAAGAAGTCCTCTGTAGCAACTGCTCCCTTCTTTGTTCCATCCCCCAGCTCTTCTCTGCCTACAGCTGCTCTATCCACTTACAAACCTGCGCTTACTTCCTGTGCTCCAGTAACTAAAACCAGGAAAAAGCGAAAATTCTTTCCAACCAGCACCATCCTGCTAGTATCCAAACTGGTCAGCCTGCCGTCTGAGAACCCGCCTTCCGTGGTTCAGCCTGGTGCCCCGGCACCCGCAATTCAGCCTGATACCCTGATGCCTGATGACCCAGGGTACGCTACCCAGCCTGATGGTTATACCCAGCCTGATGTTCCTACCCAGCCTGTTAAACTGGTCGAGCCAGACGATCCAATGCCTGATGACCCAGTGCCTGCTGTCGAACCAGATGACCCGGTACCCGCTGTCAAGCCAGATGACCTGATGCCAGATGACCCTGTGCCCACTGTCGAACCAGACGATCCGATGCCTGATGACCCGGTGCCCGCTGTCGAGCCAAATGACCCGGTACCCGCTGTCGAGCCAGACGATCTGATGCCTGATGACCCGGTGCCCGCTGTCAAGCTTGACGACCCAATGCCCGCTGTTTTGCCAGATGACTCGGCGCCCGCTGTCTTGCCAGATGACTCGGCGCCCACTGTCTTGCCAGATGACTCGGCGCCCGCAGTCTTGCCAGATGACTCTCCGTGTCCCGATGACTCGGTGCCCGCAGTCTTGCCAGATGACTCGGTGCCCGCAGTCTTGCCAGATGACTTCGGTGCCCGCTGTCGAGCTTAAAGACCCGATGCCTGCTGTTTTGCCAGATGACTCGGTGCCCCGCTGTCTTGCCAGATGACTCGGCGCCCGCTGTCATGCCAGGTGACTCGGCGCCTGCTGTTTTACCAGATGACTCGGTGCCCGCTGTCTTGCCAGATGACTCGGCGCCCGCTGTCTTGCCAGATGACTCGGCGCCCGCTGTCTTGCCAGATGACTCGGAGCCCGCTGTCTTGCCAGATGACTCGGCGCCCGCTGTCTTGCCAGATGACTCGGAGCCCGCTGTCTTGCCAGATGACTCGGTGCCCGCTGTCTTGCCAGATGACTCGGTGCCCGCTGTCTTGCCAGGTGACTCGGTGCCTGCTGCTCCACCTGGTGGCCTGGTGCCCGCTGCTCCGCCTGGTTGCCCGGTGCCCGCTGCTCCGCCTGGTGGCCCGGTGCCCGCTGCTCCGCCTGGTGGCCCGGTGCCCAGCCTGATGTGCCTCTGTCCGGTGCCCAGCCTGATGTGCCTCTGTCTGGTGCCCAGCTTGATGTGCCTCCATCCGGTGCCCAGCCTGATGTGCCTCCGTCCGGTGCCCAGCCTGATGTGCCTCCGTCCGGTGCCCAGCCTGATGTGCCTCCGTCCGGTGCCCAGCCTGATGTGCCTCCGTCCGGTGCCCAGCCTGATGTGCCTCCGCCCGGTGCCCAGCCTGATGTACCAGTCCTTGATATCCCGCCAATTACCAGATCCGGGCAGTGGAACATTTTGTCCATTTAGGACGGTTTGGAGCGTCCTGAGGCCGCTCCTTGGGGGGGGGTACTGTCAGGAATGGACTCACCAATAGTGGTGGGACTCACCTGCCTTGTGGGTTGCAGTACCAGGACTGGCCAGCGGGTGCTCTCAGCAACCAGAGGCTCACTCCTGCAGTCAGCCAAAACACCTGAGGCTGATTGCAGGAGGTGCATATAAGGAATGGCCAGACTTGCAATCAGGGCCTTGGTGTATGTTTCCCAAGAGCCCCTGTACCTGCATCCTGTGTGCTTCCTGTCTGATCCTGCTTGATCCCTGACTCTGATTGAACTCCGCCTGTCCTGACCTCTGCTATTCCTGACCACTCTCCAGTCTGCTCCTTTGGTACCTTGTCTGCCTGATTGTTCCTGACCCGACCCGTCTGACTACGTTCTGCCTGCTCCTTTGTACCTTGCCTGCCCGTTTGCTACCGACCCGACCTGCCCGACTACGCTTAGTATTGTTCTTTTGTTATCTGTTGGGGGTTTTGGTTTGGTTTGTTTGCACTGTGTTTATGTTTAGTCTTGCACTGCGTTTATGTATTGTTTAGTCTTAAATAAATTATATTGTTTATACTATATCTGAAGCCTGCGTTTCCCTGTGTCAGTCCACACACCTCTGATCATACCCGGAGCCCTGACACACTCACTGGCTAAATCCTGCCGCCTCAACCTCCGGAACATTTTCAAAATCCGCCCCTTCCTGACTGACACCACAAAACAACTCATCCAAGACTTGGTTGTATCCCGCCTCGATTACTGCAACTCCCTCCTCACTGGTCTACCGTTACACAGGCTATCCCCCCTTCAGTCTATTATGAATGTTGCTGTTAGACTCATACACCTTACCAACCGATCAGCGACTGCTGCCCCTCTCTGCCAATCCCTCCACTGGCTTCCACTAACCCAGCGTATAAAATTCAAAATACTAACCACAGCTTACAAAGCCATCCACAACACTGCCCCTAGCTACATCACCAACCTCATCTTCAGATACCGCCCAAATCGCCCACTCCACTCCTCCCATGATATCATCCTCTCTAGCTCCCTCATCACCTTCTCCCACGCTCACCTCCAGGACTTATCCAGAGCCTCTCCCATCCTCTGGAACTCCCTACCACAACATGTCCGGTCAGCCCCCACCCTGTCTGCCTTTAGGCGATCTTTGAAAACTCACTTCTTCAGGGAAGCCTACCCCACCTCCACCTAAGAACTGTACTTGAATCACCTCCGCCAGATCATCCCCAGCAGCTATCACCTTTTGTATCACCTTCCTCTTCCTTTAGAATGTAAGCTCCATGAGCAGGGCCCTCCTATTCCTTCTGTACTGAAATGTATTGTAATTGTACTGTCTCCCTTATATTGTAAAGCGCTGCGCAAACTGTTGGCGCTATATAAATCCTGTATAATAATAATATACCAAATATTCTTTCTACACCTCAACTCTAGCAGTGGTTTCAAAGTTCTTCTTGCCAATGTCTCCATGCTTCCATGTATCTTCTTCTATATGTTTGCATTATCTTCATCATGCTGAAATCTCACTCACATCTCTTGGGGCCTTTAGTGTCATACCTTGGGGACATTTTATCCTGTGTACTCTGTTTATCTTCACTTGTTCTGTCGCTGTTTTACCCATTATTGGGTTAAATATTTTCCTCATTTCATCCCATAGATCTTCTCCTGATTGTGCTTCAAGCAAGCCCCGAATCCTCAAGTTATACCTTCTATCTTTGGCATATTACCTAGAAGACCAAGAAAACAACTTTCTTTGCTCTCTCGCATTTCCTCCACCTGCGTTTCTAACTTCATAATTACTTGCGCATGTTTCTATAGTTTTTCTTCTGTTTCTGCAACGCGAGATAGAACTTCTCCCACATCTTTATGTAATACCACCATTTCATTCATCATGGATTACTCCAATTTCATAAATATCTCTGCAATTTCTGTTTTTGTGGGCATTTAGAAACTTAATCCTTGTTTTTCCATTTTTCTAGGGTCTTTTCCACTTTCTGTATCTGGTTCTTCGATCTGATACAAATTCTGAGCTCCTAGCTCCTTCTTGCTCCTTGCTGTCACTCAGGGGTATGACCCTCTGGGCTTTTCCCCTGCTGGGGCATGTGTTTCTTTATTGTGCTTGATTGAGGAGTTTTTATTCATCCACCCTTTGTAGATCTACTCTTCATTTTATTGAAACTTTCCCTTCTGATTCCAGGTCACAAGTAAATAATTAGACCCAACTCTTAATCTTCTTATAGATATTTTCCTGTTCTTCGGGCCCAGTATATTTATAATGTATCTAAAGGTAATTGGCTTCTGTTTCATTTTTCTTTTTCACTCCCACAGGGTGATCTCCTCCTCCTTTTTATTTTTTCATCATTTCAGTTACTTCTGGTGACCCCTCATAACCTCCCAAGGGAAAGTTCTTTACATCCACTCCTTTTTTAGTAGATCTATAATATCATATGGTATGCCACAACTTGCAGCCACTCACCCTCTCACTTCCTGGTCCTGTTTGGAGGGCTTCATCATGGGTCTTGAGTCCTGCTCAAGACCCACTCGTGTTGTAGTTACCTTGGTCGAAGTGGGGGTCACTGTTTGCCTGGAGCGGTATCAAGATCCTGGTGCTCTAAATCCCTTAATTGACTCTTCCTCTATTGGCCTGGTGTCTTTCTAAGCACCCTGACACTGTCCCCGTCAGCATGCCACCTCCATTTCCAGTCACCTACGGTTATCCCCGGAGCTCCATGCGGATGATCCTTCTGCCACACTCCGGCGTCCACACCGGATTCTCCTCCAGAACGAGGTGGCAGTTCTGAAGACACCCCTCCGCTGTGACGTCACATCTTTCCAGTTATTTGCCGACCAGCCGCCTTCCCCGTTCAGCCTTGGGATCAGGGGATCAGGATAAAATAGCCGCCCCTGCACCACCTGTACCTCTCACTGCTCCACAACACTGACAGAAGCCTGAAGGCTAGGTAAGGAGAGGAGTTTCAGCATACATCCATTCCTAAAAGTTCATGGGCATCGGGAGCGCTCAGCTCTAACGTCCTCCCCTTGCCAATCTGCTCTATTTCTCTTTAGGCCAGTCAATGTGTCCTTTGGCAAATTGTAACCTCTTCAGCACATGTTATTATTTCAACAATGGGACTTTGCATGGGCTTCTTGCTTGGCTTCACATAGGCATCTTCTAATTGTTACAGTACTCACAGGTAACAATACACATTCTTGATCACCCTGGAGGTGGATCATTGCTGAATCTTTGTCATTTTGGCTATTCTTCGATCCATTCGAATTGTAGTTTTCAGTTTGCTTCCACGTCTTCCTGGTTTTGGTAGCCATTTTTAAGTGTTTGAAATCATTTTACTATCAGTGTACTATCAGTTTCTGCACTTCCTTATACAATTTCCCCTTTCCAATTAACTTTAGTCAAAGTATGCTATTCTTCTGCACAATGTCTGGAACAACCCATTTTAATCAGATTTTCAGAGAGAAAATGTACAACATTTGCTGCCTTTGTCTCTTAGATAAGGGCCCCCCTTTTTTTTTCACAGACTGAATGACTCCACTAATTGAACTCCACACTGCTGTTATTTTGAACACGCCTCTTTCAATTAACTAGTTGCCGACTGCAGATAGCCGAATGACGGCTGCACTGTGGCTGGCCAGTTCTGAGTGGACGTCATATGACGTCCTCCCAGAACGCGCTCTCCTGCGCGCCCCAGCGGGCGCGCACCCGGCGATCTCCGTGATCGCTGTGTCCTACGGACACAGCTGATCACGTGATGTGGTAAAAGGCCAATCACAGCGGCCTTTTACCACGTGATCAGCGGTGTCCAATGACACGCTGATCAGAGGGAAATGCAAGTGCCGGTTCTCGGCTGCACTTTCCTCACGCTGTCAGATTGTGAGGAAAGTACTGCCGAGAACCGGCAGTTGTCAGAGCGAGGATCGGCACCGATCATCAGGGCACTGATGATCAGTGCCCTGATGATCGGTGCCCAGCAGTGCCACCCGCAAGTTCCGCCCCCCTGTGCCCAGCAGTGCGCCCACTAGCTCCGCCCACCTGTGCCCAGCAGATCACCCGCCTGTGCCCAGCAGTGCACCCACCTGTGCCCAGCAGTGCACCCACCTGTGCCACTCTGCAGTGTCACACACCTGTGCCCAGAAGTGCCACCTACCTGTGCCCAGCAGTGCCACCCACCTGTGCCCACCAGTGCCACCCACCTGTGCCCACAAGTGCCACCCACCTGTGCCCACCCACCAGTGCCACCCACCAGTGCAGCCCAGCAGTGCTGCCAGTCAGTGCCACCAGTCAGTGTCCAGCGGTTGTGCCAGTCAGTGCCGCCAGTCAGTGCCCAGCAGTGATGCCAGTCAGTGCCATCTATCAGTACCCATCATCAGTGTCACCTATCAGTGCCACCTATCAGTGCTGCATATTAGTGCCGCCTATCCGTGACACCTCATTAGTGCTGCCTATCAGTGCCGCCTATCCGTGCCACCTCATTAGTACTGCCTATCAGTGCCCTTTAGTGCTGCCTATCAGTGCCCATCAATGCCGCCTATCAGTGCCCATCAGTGCTGCCTCATCAACGCACATCAGTGAAGGAGAAAAATTACCTGTTTGAAAAATTTTATAATAGAAACAAAGAAACTTTTTTTTTTTTTCAAATTTTTTGCACTTTTTTTATTTATAGCGCAAAAAGTAAAGCGCCCAGTGGCGATTAAATACCACCAAAAGAAAGCTCTATTTGTGAGAAAAAAATGATCAAAATTTCATATGGGTACAATGTTGCATGACCGCGCAATTGTCAATCAAAGTGCGGGCAGCGCTGAAAGCTGAAAATTGGCCTGGTAAATAAGGGGGTATAAGTGCCTGGTAGGCAAGTGGTTAATGATTCACTTACACAGAATCAGCAGCATGCATATTATGACTGTTGGGTCTGTTGGTTTTATATTACTCTTACTCCTGCTAGTAAATTATTTCCAATGTAGAAATCTAATTTATACCAAAATTAGTGATTGATCTGGTTAGTGATGCTGGGCTGCTATTGTTTTGAACACAACTGTTCCACCTGAACTCTACACTACACTGTATCATAACTAAACTGTCAAACTATAGGCCCAAATTTCAAGTGTGTGTGTTCCTCTGTGTACTCCGGTCTCCTCCCATACTCTAAAGACATTCTGGCAGGCTAACTAACCTTTGTCTACACGAACCCCAGTATGTGTGTACATATTGCCAATGTATAGTGTATCGCCATATTCTACATGTCAGTCCCACACAGCAATTGGGGAGGATTGAGGAAAACCAAAACATGCAAACCTATTTCATTTCATAATGATTTACCAAGAAAATATATGAAAACTCAATCAAGTCTATCAAACGCGGTGGCCAAAGGATCGCTGGTAGAAAATTTGCATTCATTGTCATAACATGGTTATGTCTAATTTAATCCAACAATTATGAGTAATTTTTTTAATGAACAAAATGATTAGCTGCAGTGATTTAAACTCTTAATCACATACAGAAATCTACAAAATTAAACATCAGTTGTATGTGACACTCAGGTTAAACCTTTTATGTCACCCTTTCTCTCCCTGTACTATGCACATCGTGTGTTTTGCACTCTGCCAGTGGTTCTGCCTTACATTTTCACTACAATGCTTATGGCAGAATACAACAAAGTACATGCTACCATAATCTATCCTAAATACACACAGGAAGGGACAATACAGAAAGATGTACAGCCACATTTTTAATGTATAAATGTTTGAGTTTACACCTTTCAAAGCACAAACAAAGTAAACCCTCCAAAATGTAATACAATATTACTATTAACCAAACACCAATTTTCTCCATTGTTTCAAATTCAACCGAAGCAGAGAAAAACTCTAAAATGGCTATCATGCAGCATCAAAATCATTAGCTGTTCTGTTTACAGTCGGCTCTAACAAACTTTCAATACATTCACTTATTTGACAGAAACAAAAACAATAAAGCGGTGCAAATTGTCCATTAAAGCTGTGATCTTTTTTAATTGTGTTCAATCAACCATATATTGATGCCTCTAGGAACTAAACAAAATAAAAGGTCTTAGTGAGGTATCAATAAATTTCCTTCCTAGAAATAAACAAATAGCAACAAAACACTTATTGCACAAAATGCAAAACATTTGGCCTTTATTGTTGATTTATGAGTGCCCTCGCTATTAACCATATTTAATGAGCTCATATCAGTTAACCAGTTCTCGCCCAGCCAATAGTAAAATGATGGCCTAGCAGGACTTCGTCAATCCAGGTTGGGCATCATATGATGTCCCCCCCGGATCAATACCGCATGTGCGTATGGGGCCGCGTTGCGGCAAGATCTGTCACTGGACACAGCCGATGACCAATCTGTGTAGCGGCCTGTTGCCAGTATCATGTGACCAATCAGCAGGTCGCATGACCATTGTAAATAATGGATGGCTTCCTTTCATGCCATCCATTGTATACAATTTTAACTGTGATTGGTCATAGTGATCACATGGTACAGACTAGGCCAATCACAGCCCATCATGTGATTAGCTGTGGCCAATCACAGCTAATTGTGACAAAAAAACACTGAATGAATCGATTTAATCAATTTAGATACTTATCTATAGCAGTGAAATTCACTGCTATAAGCAATCATAATGTGTAAAAAAAAAAAAAAAAATCACTTCACTAGAGTGTTACTCTAATCACTTTTACTCTAAATACTTTTAAAAATTGAAAAAAAATATTTTTTTTTTTCTTACTCTCCAGCCAGTGTCCCTGATCACCACCACACCAGTTATATGATGACGCTGTACTGCACTGGTGACTTTATGTAAAGAAAAGAAAAGAAATGGTGAAAACATTTTTTTTTCATTTATGTTCCAAAAAATTGCAACTTCAGAAAACTCACCATGTCTTACTAAATACCGCAGACTACTTTCCAAAAAGGGGTAAGTTGGGGGATATCTGTACTGTCCTGACATTTTTGGACATCAAGCAATGAGATAAGCTGTCAGTATATCAGGATTGATCAATTTTCAGATATATACCACAGTTTGTGGACTCTATAACTTTTCTACAGACTAAATAAACACTAATTTGGGTTATTTTCACCAAAGAAATGTAGCATACATTTTAGCCTAAATTTGTAAAGAATAATTATTTGCTATATTTTGTAAAAGAAATGAAGAAAATCTTTTTTTTTCTTCAAAACTTTTTTCATTTAACTAAAAACTCAGTAGTGATTAAATACTGCCAAAAGAAAGTACTAGTGTGAACAAAATGATAAAAATTTAGTTTGGGTACAGTGTTGCATGACTGCATAATTGTCATTCAAACTGTGAGAGCGCTGAAAGCTAAAAATTGGCCTGGGCAGGAAGGGGGTGAAAGTGTATTTTGATTAAAGGATGTCCATCAAAAGTTATCAATAATTCTCCATGGTTGAGATGTCATTCACAGATTCATTACATTTCTGCACAAACATTATACATCACCATCCATTATTGATTTTTCTATTTCAACCTCTTGTTCAATCCCACACAAATCTTGGAAACTTCTAGGAACAGATCTGGTTCCTTTTGTATTAATGAAAAAAATTAAAAACAATTAGTGTTATATTCTAAACTATAACACTTCATTACAATCCCCAATAAGGACCATACAAAGGTATACAGTTATGTTCAAAATAATAGCAGTCCAACATCACTAACCGGATCAATCACTGTTTTTGGTATAAATTCTATTACTACATGGCAAATAATTTAATAGGTGTAGTAGAGTGATAGAAAACCAACATACCCAACAGTCATGACATGCATGCTGCTGATTCTGTGTAATTGAATCATTAATTGAAAGGGGTGTGTTCAAAATAATAGCAGTGTGGGAATCAATAAGTAAGGTCATTCAAACTGAAAAAGCAGGTGACTAAGGAAGCAAATGTTGTACATGTTGGGTATAGTGCATTTCTCTGTGAAGAGTAAAATGGGTTGTTCCAGACATTGTGCAAAAGAACAGCGTACTTTTGATTAAAAAGTTGGTTGGAGAGGGGAAAACATAAAGTGTAGAAACTGATAGGCTGCTCAGCTAAAATGATCTCAAATGCTTAAAAATAGCTACCAAAACCAGAAAGACGTGGAAGAAAACTGAACACTACCATTCGAATGGGTCAAAGAATAGCCAAAATGACAGACTCAGCCAATGATCTCCTTCCAGGGTGATCAAAGAAGGTCTAAAGTTACCTGTGAGTAATTAGAAACAATTAGTAATAATTAGAAGGCGTCTCTGTGAAGCCAAGCTACCTGCAAAAGAAGCCCCTGTAAAGTCCCATTATTGAAAAAAACGACATGTGCTGAAGAGGTTACAATTTGCCAAAGAACACATTGACTGGCCTATAGAGAAATGGTGCAATATTTGGTAAGCAAGATTGTTCTTCTTAGATCTAGGGACAACAGTTTGTCAGATGACCCCCAAACACTGAATTCAAGCCTACGCACTGTGGGTATAGTGAAGCATGGTGGCACAAGCATCATGATATGGGGGCTGTTTCTCATATTATGGGGCCTATTTATCGCATACCAGGGATCGTGGATCAGATTGAATACATCAAAATACCTGAAGAGGTCATGTTGCCTTATGCTGAAGAGGAAATGCCCTTGAAATGGGTGTTTCAACAAGACAACAACCCCAAACACACCAGTGAGCAAGCAGCATCTTGGTTCCACACCAACACGTTTAACATTATGGAGTGGCCAGCCGAATCCCCAGACTTTAATCCTAAAACTTGTGGGGTGACATCAAAATTGCTGGTTCTGAGGTAAAATCAAGAAATGCAGAGGAATTGTGGAATGTAGTGCAAGTGTCTTGTTCACAGGTGCCAGAAGTTGGTCAACTCCATGCAACACAGATGGGAAGCAGTTCTCAGAAACAGTGGTATACAACTAAATATTCAGTGATTCACAGGAAAGCTCAATCTTGAAGCTTTTTTTTGAGTTTGTAAAGAACAATGCTGACACTGCTATTTTTTGGAATAGCCTAATCCATTTTCTTCACTTTCTGTAAAGTAATAAAAACAATTGAGTACTGTCCATGATACTTTTTTTTATTTGCGCTAACATACAATTTTGAGGACAAGCTTTTGTGGTATGTCCAAACAGTACTATTACAAATCACAAAGTTTAAGCAGAATGTTAGAAGGGATTGAAAAAAAAAAAAGGCTACAGATAAGATACATCAAAGGGGAGGGGGGGGGGGTACTACACTCACACAGAGGGGGTCAAGCTTCAGCTAATAGTCATAAAACTGTCGGATAATGGTTGAGGAATCCCATGTCCAAGTTAAGGCCATTATCTTTTGTGTCAAATAGAATTATCATTCTTAGTTCAAATGTTTTTCTTTCCTGGATGGATTTGAATTTTCCTTTCAGAATTAAAACATTGAGGTCTTCCATTGTGTGGCCTGGTTGTGTGAAATGGTGTCCTACAGGTGTACAGAGGTCATCTTCTTTATGTTCCTTGATGGTATGTCTGTGCAAATTCATCCTTGTTTGCAACTTCTGTCCTGTTTCGCCAACATAAGATCCTTTGCTGCATTTTCTGCACTGGATAAGGTA